TGATTCTACTATCTATATCACACTATTTGAAGACATTTTTCATTGGGAATTCCCATTAGATGGACGTGGTGTCGTGCGATTGGTTTACGAAAAATTATCCGAATGTACGATGTCATCCAATCAAAATGCTTTATTATTGAGCGCGTGAAGAGGAAACGCGCAAAAAGTAAAAAATCAAAACAAAAAAAGAAGAATCGAAAAATCCATTGCTTTTTCCCTTTTTTTCTATTACTCAACGAAAAGATACCTCTTCATTGTATCTCCTCGCGGAATACGTTTGGTCGCTGTATTTATTAGCCTTTATGCTCGGTGAGGAAACCATGGATTCCACCGAAACATTTACTCTACAAAGTGCCGTAGACTATATCAACGTACAACTCGATGCATTCGGATATTCTTCATCTCTAAACTTTCTTGATAATAGTCGAGAGAGTACGACGCAGATTATACATTGTATATTTGGATTATTACAGCAGAGACAGGTTTAATTGGACACTTTTGTTGGTGTGAGCTAGAATGGGAGAGCATTAGTATTTGTTAGCGAAAGTATTTACTGATATTTGTGATAATTTTCATTGTTATTCGTGCTGATAGAAAGACATTGGTTATCAAGATGAAATGAATGATTTGAACAGAAGACTTCAGAGTGATCTTGAGCTTCTAACGTCAAATTTGGTAAAATATTTCAAGATCTCGTAAATTGTTTATGTTATATAAATATCAAATCGTTCCACGGTTTTATTTGGTCAACTATACTAATCATTATCTGTCTCTCGTTATCAATATCTTTACCGTCAGAAAAGCACTAAGCAACGTGCAGAAACAAGTGAGCGTGAAGTCGATTGCTTGAAAACCAAATTAAAGTATGTAACCATGTTTTTATTATCAACCGACGCATTTAATTTTTACTTTCCAATCCAGAGATAGTGTGGATGTATTTATAAGAAATCACTTTATATTTATTTCTTTGCGTATTTGTTCTATACTTGTTATTACGTGTTGACAAAACAAATTCGCCTTCACGGTGATTATTTGACTACATAGCTAAATAAGGGTTATCACGAATTAGATGGGCAGAAGACAAATTGCGTGAAGAAGTGGAGAAGCATCGAGCTACAAGAGATGATTTGTCAAAAACCAAATCCAATTTACAATATACCAAGACTTTATGTACGGTGAGTATAATATTTACTAGTTATAGTTGTGGAAAACTGACTCGACCAGTTTTTCAACGTCAACGTCAACGTCAACGTGTTCTTGAGAGATTATGCTTCTGCTTTACAACTATTGGTTCTATATTTAGCACGAAGTCCGCAAACGCGAAATCGAATATGAACGCTTTAAAGAACGCATGCAGCGTGTCCTAAATGATAGATACAGATCAGCCAAGATTGGACTAAAAATTCTCAATCCAGCACCCAAGCCCGCTAAAAGTATATCAAATAATGATCGAAACGGACAATCGCTCACCGAGACACCTGCATTAGAGCAACAAAGTGCAGTGAGTAATAGAGAAAGCCAGCAGTCATACCCGGCACTACAAAATAAGTTGATTAACTGTTCAAATATATATGTGTAGGACATTGAAATGTTCAAACAAGTAGTAGCCGACTCTGAAGCACGGCAGAATGAGCTAATACACGAGAACTCTAGCCTTCGCCAATTGTTGTACGAAGTACATGGCCAAATTTTGTCATTTTTGGAAGACCAGGCTGATGTACTAGAGACACCTACACCGGTGAATAACGCTGACAGATTCCAGGTTGGTGAACTATTTTTTCTATAGCTTGACTGCATTGCTTTTAAACCTAATTGCGCTTGCCAATAATTACTTACACTCACGCTTTTTGATATTCGGCTCGTTTTCAATCAAAGACGCCCAACATGCGCACTCGCCGTAATGCAAAATTCCAACTCCCTTATGAAATGTTTGCACAAAATATCGAATCCGAAATCAACGATGTCCTAACCGTGCTTCGAAATGAATGGGACAACCGTCCTGCCGCAATGACCGCAGAAGTTGAACAACGAGATCAAGAATTACAATATCAACAATTAGAAATACAACAGAGGGAAGAAGAATTAATGAAGAGGGAATTGGAGTTGGAAGAAACTAGAGGAGAGTTAGAAGTAATAATGAAAGAGTTGCAGGGCAAGGATAAAGAGATACGTTCTCAACAGGAGGAGATTGAGGTGTTGAAAAACAATCTTGGTATGTTATTAATTACAAAATGAGAGCGTATGCCGGATGAAAGTAAAACAAGATGCTAATATCAGCAAACACGACAGAGGATGTCACTCAGGGTGCGGAGGAAGCACAACGAATAATTGAGAGATTTGAATCAAAGGCATTTGAAGATGGCTTGGATGATGTTTCTGTGTATGTATTTTGATACCAACTAATGTCATACTAATGCATCCATATCGTAAATTGCTAAATACTACTTCACATTTACCACTGTCAGACATGAGCTCACAGTACCAGAATACGATGCAGCTGATGAAGACATAGAACGAAGGAGAGAACAATTGAACGAGGAGAGAAGGAAATTCACAGAGTCATTGCTTAAATTAGGAAAAGATCGAGAAATACTGCTGGTAATTATGGCGTACATTTCGCATGCCTGAATGTGGATCTTCCCAATACCAATATTGACATATTTGATGATAAACAGCAAGAAAGGGTCGAGTTTGAAATCGAAAAGCGGCAATGGAGAGCTAAGCATCCAATGGGCATTATTCATACACCGTATGTATTATATGAGATTGGCGACAAATTTTCTTCATGTACCCATTGGAAAGCTCATGTACTCGTTTTTTTATAGTTGTAGTGCACAAACTTATCAGTGGACGCCTAATGCATGTTATCCAAGAGGGACGCGGGATGAAGTTAGTCCTTTGACACCGTTTCTACGAAAGATTCAAGAGACTCTTGTAACCCGTAGTAAAATGATACCTGAATGAACTGATAGTTGATTATGTTTTTTCCAGTCTGTCAAGTGTTGTATATATATAATAGGAATGTGAGCTTGGGAAGAGGTTGATAAGTCTCATGGATCTATGTAAGTAGTAAATGATTAATTCAGACTGTAATCAATTAATGTAGAAACTCAATAATAAAGATCGTGTGTGCATTTCCTAGCAATAGAATCAGGCTTTGCTTTATTCTTATTGACAAATGGAAACAAAGACTGGGAAGGGCCTCCTCAGAATATGGGGGTTTTTTGTATTAGTATTGCGTTCTGACAAGAACCCTGCTCAACAAAGCAATTAGAGTTTCAGTTTAGTATAGGTTATCTTTATGCTTTTAATAAACATCAAACTTTGCTATGGATGTTTCGTATATTCTCATTATTTGACATAAAGCACTAATTGGAGTTTGCTATTGCTTCCAAGAGACCTAGATATAAAATCGCGATAGATTGTTTGATAACTCGATCCTGCTTGTGAGAGTAATATTCATTGCCACTCTTACTAGGATATGTAATCATCGAAAAGATTTTTTTCGCCGATGTAACAATGTTTTATTTGGTTTTGTATCGCGGCAATTCGATATAATACCATTCGTCGCCAGATGATTCTGACATTCTGTAGATAAGTACGGATGACTCCTAACACATTGAGACACTTCTTTTAAAGCGTTGGCCGACACTCATTTACTTCTTCATCCGTTACTTTTAGCTGGACCAAAAATGTGTCTTGCTCAGATCTGAAAAAGCTTGAAACACCCGCGTTTCCCGAACACAGTACTACAGGCTGCGCTATTTAATTATGATTTCGATGCACGCTCTTCTCTCTTTGTAACGAGTCCATCAATTTTACTTCCACATTGGTAGCAGACATATAAAAAACATAACCTGCTTGAAATATACCGTTTTTAGCCGCGATAACAAAATTTCCCGCCCTCCCTTTGCGCTTAAGTCTAATATGCATAAATCGGACTGACATTTAACGGGGCGTGCAAGTTTTCTTGGTCATGTGTGCTCGGCGCGCACGCAAAAGCAATTGTGCAACGATTAGCCGACATCGATTGCATTATATCCTATTAAAACTTACAACCGTTCTACACAAAAGCAACAAAGTATCGAGCGACGAATAAATAAATAATGCAAAATTGATGTTAGTGAAATTGGTTAAACAGCCGAACCCAAGTTACAATACCGTTTCCTCGAGGTTATGGGGATGTGTACACGAGTAGCAACACGACGTTTACACGTGTCGTAAAGACTCGCAATTTCTTACGAATAGCAAGTTATTAATCACACCCATAACTTTTAACAAAGAGTTCTTCGAGATTTAAACCGATAAGAAGTCTGTATAAACAGACTCTTATTACACCAGAATAATTCCGTGCTTTAATGCCAATCAACTTTTTCTCCATGTTAGTGGCGATGTATCGATAGAACCAGTATGTCTGAACAGATTTACATAATATTCTGGATAAACCAAAAAGTCTATCCGTAGTTTCATCTTTTTCTTTTGTCTAAATCAAATATAACGAAGAATGTATCATCTATCAATGAACGACTGAATGTAGTATCCTTTAAATTGGTTTGATCTAATAAACAAGAAATGAGAAGCGTTAAAATCAAAAAATAACTATCCAGAAAACGTCGGCGTAAAAGTTTACCTTAAAATGCAACCCAATTAATGAAAACACCAAACACTTAAGATCTTGCACAAGATAATAGAAAACACGGAGACCCTCAGGATCTCCACTCTCTTGAACGTCTACCAGTGATCCAATCTTTGCAGTCTAGAAATAAATATAATTTACGGCAAAAACTTGTTAGTAAGGTAGTTTGGGTCATGTAACAAAGAGGATAGTCTTAGGAACAAACCTCGAAAGATATGTGATCGCTCGCCAAACGGATCTCAAGCTCTTGCCTTCCAACGACGTTCTTCTTCGGCCAGCGAGCATCATCTTCTCTGACATTTTCAGACAAAATAAATCAATGTTCGGGCTAAATTATTTATATCGTAAAAATGTGAACAGCTATAATACATACTTTAATATTTCACTCTCCATAATTATACGTTTAAGCTCTCTCATCATTAACGGGCTGACGTACACTGGGTAAGTGCGGAAATGATACATGAGAACAGTAAACAAAGTAAAAGCAAGTAACAGGGATAACGTCAAACGTACTCTCTTTCCGTATCAGACTGTCATTACGATAGTTTGAGTTGTTTGCATAACGACAGCGACCATCAGATCTGAACTCAAACTCCAAAAATTCATGACCATATCGGCCCATGTGGCCTGTGCTGTTTCCAGAACGCAAAGTTAGAGATCGTTTTGGCATGTGTTTAGAGATCGCTAATCAGAACTATATAATTTGGTTATACATACTAATATCGTACATAGAAATCGTCGCTCATCGTTATTGTAGGGAAAAAAACCTCAACCACTTTTTAATAATATAAATTAAAATGACAACAAATTCTATTGGCTGATCGACATATCCTGCCACGGGGCTCGAGACGCGTCAATTGCAGGAACGAGTCAAATATAACGTTTGCTTTAATTGACAATTATAACTATGCAAGTTTCAATTTTAAGCCTAATTCCACTAATGCCGTACGCAGAAGCATTATCCACAAGATTTGACTGGGAGCAACTGAACCAGCCGGCCTTGTACATAGTTGCAATATCATCTCTAATAACATATGCTGTCCTTGTATCGTCCTGGAATCGTCTTTTCGGACGTTCAGAGTCAAAGGAGTCAGCGGAGGTTATGGGAGAACAGTGCAATGCACGTGTCTCTTTCAATCAAGAACAAGTGGTCTCTGGTTGCAATGCAGCCACGAGCAGCAATGTAAATCTACGGTCCACGTCAACGACATTTACAGATGACCGACAAAGGGCGGAAGCTTACTGTGAAATACTCGTAAAAGAGCTCGGCAAAACCTACGTGGAACATCAATCGTTCGAAAAACGTATCAAAGAATTAGAGAAAGAAAACGAATTGCTTTCACAAAGAGTAAGACAGATATCTGATGAGAACGAAATCCTCATTGAAGCTAAAAAACAAGCCGATGTTCGGCATCAACAATTAGAAGCCAGTTTGGCAGATATCTCGCGAGAGAAGGAACAATTGACGAAGAAGCTCTATTATTCCTTTGGACAATCACGCAAACAAACTCCGCAGAAGTATCCTCGATGTGTTTCTAGCCCTGACTTTGAAATCAACAAGGAAAATATTGAGGAACCAGACATAGGACAGTACCTCCCTCATCAAGACGTGGACGATGTTCATGATTATTTTATTACAAGAAAGGCGTCACAAGTTGTTTTTGATGAAATTGGTGCTGTCGTGACAAATGATTCAGAGGTATTTTCTCTCGAATAATTTGACTTTATATAACGAACGGGTGAAATAAAGAGGGGAGGGGCGGCGAGGCTAGTAAGCATTATGTTCAATTAGCAAAATAAATATCTATATGATTATTTGCTATAGGTAGCTAAGATACGAACAAGGGAATGGCTCGACGATCTAGAGAAATAACTTGATCCGATTATCTATATTATGGCAATCCCCGCTGCTTACAAACTTCTAACTTTGCTTACATCAAGCAGCATATCGGTTGAAAGTTCCCCTAACCAAATAACTTTCTGTGACGTCCTTATCCTTCTTCTCTTTATAAATCGATCTTATTGCTTCGGATTTCTTTTTGTTATTATTTACTAAATGTTCCTTGACTCTTTGGTTTACAGCAGCGGCAGCAGATGTTGATGATATGTTGACATTACTGGAAGATTGTTCAATGGCGAGTTTCTTGGTTATCTGAGATGAAGCCGGGGTGTCATCTTCTAGTTTGCGTTTAATTCCGACATTATCACTCAAGGCAGTCGAATTCTCGCCATTTAATTCTTTGAGTTTCCCTTTCTGTTTCTTTCTTTCCTTCTTTTCCTTCCTTTCTTTAGCTTTTGCTCTTTTCTCGGCAAGTTCTGCTTTGAGTTTTTCCTGTTCTTCTTGGCTAGGGTTGATTTGTCGTATGTTCTCTGGTTTGTATGGTTGTGAACACTAGTTGGAATATGAAAGTTGTAGGCTTAGAAACGAATATCCTATTATGATCGATTGGAATAAATAATGCAATCCTTACCTTAACACATACGCCCGCTGGTACTTGCTTGAGTCCCTGTTCAGAGAAAACACATCCACAAGTGTCGAGATATACAAATTTAGACTTGCCATTCATTTCTTTCATTGAAATAGGACAAACAAAACGAGCCACCATTCCCTGATGTGACTGAGCAAGCGTAGAAACCGATGTTTCTTTGTATGCTGGGTTTGGTGTTAATTTCAAGGTTTTTACATCCTATTGAAAGAATCTGGTAAATAACGCAATTTGCAATTGAAGTTTCGGTGGCCGAGAGAGAAGCATGCAAATACCTTAATGCTTGTAATATGAGAACAGATCATGTCGCCATCACCGTATGCCTCTTTGTTCAGCAGGAACTCTAAAACAGCGTCTTTATTGTATAGCTTTCCAAGAGCACATATTACCACAGGATCTTGCAGCAGACTCTTGAATGCGAAATGAGTACAACGAATGTTAGCGTCCTGAGACAATACAAAACCATTAGGTTAAACGTCAATACACTCACCTTGGACAGGGCACAGAAAAACCAGATCGCGATCTTTAAAGCCGTCTGATCCGGACGAACTTCCTTTTTCTTTTCTTTAACAAGTTCTATGCGCTTAGGAATTGAGCCTCCGTCGTTACCCATGATTTTTGTTGGTTAAAACTTTCAGGTTTTGCGTGCGCGGTCACTGTATTTATATGTTAACCCAAGTGTAGTACGAAAATGGCTAGAGTATTCAGGCGTCGACCACGTGAACATGTTTTGCCACACGACTAGTATTATTATTATAGATATATTCTGATTAGCTTGGGTAGAACGACACATTTAAATGTAAGAGGCGTCGCGGAAAAGCGAGCATTATTGAAAAATTACGTAAATGTTATTGCGAATTAACTGGGTTAACATATCACGATTGACTTACCATTGATCAGACCATCGTCATGGACGATATAGATTTATTGTCCATTAGTTAAAACTCTCTACTTTAATTCTATAACCACCGACAATAATGTTACTATAAGACATGCAGAAACACCTCTACCAACAACAAACGTCGATCTTTTTTTCCTTGGCGTATTAATTATTAGAGGTATTACTTTTGGCTTAATTCAAGTCTTATCTCGCGACAAGCACGTATTTTAATAATAACAACACGTAGCCTTTAAACATGTTTGTTCAAAACTTAAATGTTCGTAACAAAGGAACACATAGTAAAACTACTACATACAAGTCGACAGAAAGACTCGTCCTCATTACGATACAAATAATAAAAATAACGTAACATCGCTAACTTCCATTCGTAACGGACGTAAATAATAATAAACACTTTAATTACAATATAAAAAAATTATAATCGTTTTTCTTCGGCTCTCAACCTTTCCGGAAATTCTTAGACATCCTTGCTTTTCAACCTAGTATTCAGAACGTTCAGTCTTAACTATCAGATCAATCGCAATACTGCTATCGAGTCTCAATTTTTGTCGAAACAAGATTTCGTTATGCGTTAGTTTTCAATGTTAATGTCGATCGTCAAATGCAGGGTTGATTATGTTAAGTGCGTAATAAAGTTAGTTGGAATTTAATTATCAACAATGTTTTAATTATAAGAATAAAAGTTAAAAATTATTTTCAAGTCATCGAGACCTGATGCAAAAGGCATTAGTCGTCATCAGTTATCATGCTAACCAACAAAACAAAGAATACAAAACAAATTATTGGTCATAAACGAGTCTGTTAACTGCATATTATTGAGCAACTGTTTAGTCGGTCCAGCAATTAAGCTTTCGGACAGATGCAAAAAGCATATTGAGACATGGTCGTATAGCGATTGTTTATATATATCTTTTGAGAACTAATTCTTAACGTCTAATTTCTGAGTAAATTTGCAGGTATGGACTACCGCAGCAAATTAATATCAAATTAAATGCTTCAGACTTGAATTTTACGACACATCGTATTACTCATCGTTCACATAATTTGACTAATATTCCACGTGCATGAAAAACGCCGCCGCGGCTGTACAAGTCTTTGAGCAATGTCACTAGCCAATTCGGTTCAAGAAGCCTGCTTGAATGTCACAATGTCGGTTCGTTCAGTCCTAAACATAAGAACTGTAAAGGAATGAGTGGACGAATCTTCACGTCAAGGACCAAAGAAGAACTTTCACAACAGACGAAAAACGCAAGTTGCGGCCACGACGCGCTTTCAAGTCTGTGGTCCATGTACCCTATTCACCACACAGCCCG